TGAGCCTTGGGGTGCGGAGCTTGGGTGTGCTGAGCCTTGGGGTGCGGAGCCTGGAGATGCTGGGCTTGGGGGTGCGGAGTCTGGGGGTGCTGAGTCTGGGGGTGCAGAACTTGCGGGTGCTGAGCCTGGGGGTGCGGAGTCTGGGGGTGCTGAGCCTGGGGGTACTGAGTCTGGGGGTGCTGCACCTAGGGGCGCTGAGGCGTCTGGTGAGCGGTCTCCCTGGAGCGGCCGTCTCCGTAGTCGCTCCACTGGTGCCTCGCCACTGCACTCTCGTCCTCGTCTCCCTCTCTCCCGATAGCAGCTGCGTGAGTGGTACTTTAGCCGTCAGGGTCGCGCTGCTGGAGTTGGAGGCCCTGCTGCGAGAGATGCTGGTGTTGGAGGCACTGGAGCCAGCGCTGTCCCTCTCTCCCCACAGCAGCTGCGTGAGTGGTATGTTAGCCGTCAAGGTCGTGCTGCTGGAGCTAGGGGCCCTGCTGTGGGTGCTGGTGCTGGAGCTTCTGGAGCTGTCGGAGGTGCTGGCGCTGGTGGCGCTGGTGCTGGAGGTTTTGGAGGTGCTGCGGGTGCTGGCGCTGGAGTTTCTAGACCTGTTGGAGGTGTTGGCGCTGGTAGCGCTGGTGCTGGAGGTTTTGGAGCTGCTGCGGGTGCTGGCGCTGGAGTTTCTGGAGCTGTTGGAGGTGCTGGCGCTGGTGGCGCCGGAGCTGGAGGTTGTGGAGCTGCTGCGGGTGCTGGCGCTGGAGGTTCTAGAGTTGTCGGAGGTGCTGGAGCTACTGGTACTGGTGGCACTGCACCGCCGTCACCTTCGTCTCTGCCACCGCCTGGCTCCGTGCTTCGCCAGGTTCTTAGCCTCCCGTCTTCTACTAGTCTTCCGTTACAGCCTGGCTCACCGCTACCTGCTCCTTCTCCTTACACTGAGCAGACAAGGGGTCTTAGTGAGCGTTGTAAGCCTGCGTCTCGTCCTGTCTCGCCTGTTCGCACTATCCGAACTAGTCGTACTGGTCGTCGTGTTCCTCGTGAGCGTCCGCCGGCTGTCCCCGGCACATACCTCATGGCTCTGCGTCCTTCCTCTCCTCCGCAGCGTGTTCCCTTGCCGTCTCCTCCTGCGTCTTCTCTGCCTGACGTTCCAGAGCCTGAGTCTGACCGCGCTCGTGCTGCTCACCCTACTGTCACGCGTCTGCTAGCCACAGTTGTCACTGACCCGTCATTTGAGTCTGCTGCTGCGTCTGCCTTAGTCGCTAAGCTTGTTGACTTTCCTGCTGCCTATCGTCTAGACTGCGCCGCTAGTCTTGTTGCTGAGTCTGAGTCTGTCTGTCCTCCGTTTGTCGGGAGTGAGTGTGCTCTTGGCACGGACGTCCTTGAGGACAGGCAGGAGGACCTTGAGTGTCTTGCAGTCGCTGCGCCCCATCTCGTGTCCATGCTGCTTACCCTTGAGGGAGACCCGGATGCTCCAAACATCCCGACCCCGCACTCTTACGCTGAGGCGATCGCGGGTGAGTACTCCTCTCAGTAGCAGACAGCCATGGACGCAGACAGAGATGGCATCCTGGAAGTCCACGGGCACCTACGTCGACGGAGTTCCCCCTCCTGGGGCAAACATCGTCAGTGCCACTCACGCGGCGCCTGGCGGAGACCGTAGACTGGCCGCCAGAGGCTCCACTGGGTACCAGGAGGGAACGACCCTGAGGACGACACTTGCCACTGAGGACGACACTTGCGGCTCTTGGGTTTGCTCCTTCGACTGCTGACCCGTCTCTGTTTCTGCGCACCGACACTTCGCTGCCGCCGTTCTATATCCTCTTGACGTCGACGACTTGGTCTTTGCCACTGCTGACACTGAGGCTCTCGTCCTGGTGAAGTTGGAGCTGCAGAAGAGACACACGTGCACAGACATGGGTGAGTTGCGCAGTTACCTTGGCTTTCAGATCACCCGGGACAGAGCACGCCGCACCATCACACTGACTCAGTCACACATGGTGCAGCAGGTCCTTCAGCGCTTCGGCTTCACCTGGTCCTTTGTACAGGCCACTCCTCTGGCTACAGGTTACCCGCTCTCAGCTCCACCTTCGGACGAGTCCGTAGAGCCGAGTGGTCCTTACCCATAGCTAGTGGGCTGCCTCATGTACCTGATGGCCTGCACTCGTCCTGACCTTGCGTACCCTCTTGGCCTTTTGGCTCGCTACGTGGCTCCTGGTCGGCACCGAAAGGTGCACATCGATGCTGCTAAGAGGGTACTGCGCTACTTGTGCAATACATCGGACATGGGGCTCGTGCTTGGAGGGCGGAGCCTAGTTGTCCTTACTGGGCACTCGGACGCTTCTTGGGTTGACGACCTCGCTACGCAGCGGTCGTCACAGGGTTACACCTTCAGCCTTGGCTCTAGCTCTGTTTCTTGGCGGTCTACACGCTCGTCCTCTACTCTCGGCTCCAGTTATGAGGCTGAGATCTACGCCACAGCCATGGCTGCACAGGAGCTACGCTGGCTCACCTACCTGCTGACCGACCTTGGAGAGCGGCCTCGTTCTCCTCTAGTAATGTACGTAGACAACAAGGCCATCATTGCCTTGTGTCAGGAGCACATAGTGGAGCACAGAACGAAGCACATCGCTCTGCGTTATTTCCTCGCTCGAGAGTTGCAGCAGCGTGGTCAGCTTCGTCTTGCTCACATGGCCACTCGGGCCAACACTGTTGATATATTCACCAAGGCACTTGCGTCTGGTGATCATCAGCGTTTTGTACTTTGTTAGGCCTTGTGCCCACGTTTCCTCACTTGCTGTAGACTTTGCTTGTATTGTGATCGATATATATACCTGCATGCTTGCTCTGCTAGGTAGAGATCACTGTGCTCTTGTTGTTGCATATATACCTCTGCATGTGAACTGGCGTTGTGGCCCCTTTGCTTGTGCTCACTGTGTGTGGTGACGTTGTGATCCACCCTGAGCTTGCTTTGCTTCTTTTGACTAGTCTTGTGACCCATTGCTCTCCCCCACTTTGCCTATGGGGGTGTGTCAATTACGGTGTGTGCATGTTATATCTGTTGAGGCTGTAGTGGGGTAGTCAATGTAGGGAACAACCCCTTAGGGTTTTCATCCTTGTATCTCTCAACGGAATCGGGGGTGACGCTCCGTTTCGCCAGAGATGACGCTCGGGGGTGACGCTTTCGCGAGCGTCACCCTGACCCGGGCAGAAAAAACTAAAACCCTATCGGGATGGCATGCACCATTCGGGAGCCTAAACCCTAAAATTTTAGGGTTGAGGCTCCCGAATGACATGCCATCCATCTGGGGTTTTTTTTTTTTGCCCCGGGCAGTTTCTCGTTTTGTGGTCTTTGTCGTTAGCGCGCCTGCTACAGTCCGTTGAGATGTACTAGGCTATACCCAAACTTCCTCGATAGTCAATCACACCTACTCTAACATCGCTATTTGATGCAGTGATTCTCCATGCACATGCACAGAGAAGCAACAGGACCTTGATACCAGGCCTCTGGATAGGATTTGAACCAGTCTTTCTCATAAGGGTAACCAGCTGCTTTCACTCTTTCTGTAAGGGTACCAGGCAAGCACCACTCTTTTTTGTAAGGGTTAAAACCAAACTATAACTTTTCATGTAAAATAACTAGTAGATTTTAGGCCTAAAATAACCCGGTCACCCGGCCAACTAGTTTTGCAAGCAAAGAGGAGTGAGCGGAGTGGGGACTGCATTCGTCCCCTCTTCCCCTTCTCTCTTCACTCCACCCTGGCTCCCCCCCCCAGTCCCCCACCTACCCCCAACTCCAATTCAGTGCAAGTCTGCCTTAGAGTTTGTGATTGGTGCAGTTCAAGCAGGAGCTTTCACTTCTCATTAGATATGGATTGCATGCAGAGACATGATTAAATATTAAAAACTTGTCAACAATAGTATAATATTTAGTCAGGCAAAAATTAACGGCTCACAGTTTTCCCCAGTACCGTATACGGCACAGTACACTCGTGCCAATGGCCATGGCCTCTCAAGGCGGGCAAATGAATAATGTGAAGAGTGGAGTGTGGTGGAACCTAAAGACTGACCACACCAGTTAATGTAGCCATCTCTAGCTGCGGGAGGTAAAGAAAGGATGGGTATGGACGGGCATGCATGCCCAATACATGCCATGTCATGCCATGCCATGCCCAGCATGCCATGCAGTACCATCCCCGCTCACCCATGTCAACAACCGAATGATGTGCGTCTCTGCCTTAGAGAGTATACGGTAGTCTAATAAGATCCTTGGGAGCGAGGCAGGTATGCAGAAGAGGAGGAAAGTGAGCCGTTTGGCAGGCCAAGTAGCTTCAGCAGTTGCCCACTGCTTACCCGCTCACTCACTCCCTCCCACTGCTGTTGCCCCTGCTCCTGCCTCTGCCACTGCTCACGCCCTAGCTGATGCTTCTCCTCTTCCGCCTGCTGCTGCTGCTGTTGCTGAAGCTCTAAGAATCGCAATCTCTCGTACAAACCTGCTGCTGCTGGTGCTGCAGCATCAAGGGATGATGTTACTGCCGCTGCTTCTGCTTCTGCTGCTGTTGCCGTGGTGGCATGTGGATGAATCTTCATATCGCCTGTGCTCTCACCACTCGAGACCATGAATGTGCCTACACTTGCACCAGCACCAGCACTAGCACTAGCACTAGCAGCACTGGCAGCAACTTCAGGAGAAGCGCATGCAACGGCAGCAGCAGAAAGAGTGGCTGATGACAAAGAGGCATAAAGACTTGCAGTGGAGGCAGAAACAGCAGCAGCAGCAGCAGCAGCAGCAGCATCTGCTGCATCAGAACCACCCGCAGAAGCAGAAACACTACCACTAGCACCAAGAACAGCAGCACCAACCGCTGACGCACCACCAGCAGCAGCACCAGCAGCTGCAGCGGCGGCGGCGGCAGCTGCAGCGATGGAAGGGTCTTTGGCAGCCATGGCAGCAGCCCGTGCTGCAGCCTCTGCTGGCGGTGGGTGGTCAAACTTGCATGTGGCTCCGTAGCGACACGTGCCCGTCTGGATTAAGGGACGCAGAGGGGGAAAGAGGGCGGGTGAACAGGAGGGGAAAAGGGATGGGGAGAAGCAGGATTGAGACGTCTTAGAGATTGACCCATAGCGACGCGTGCAGCTGCCTCTGCTGGCGGTGGGTGGTCGAACTTGCATGTGGCTCCGTAGCGACACGTGCCCGTCTGCATCGGCGGAGGAGGATGGGAGCAGGGGAGGGGAGAGATGGGGACAGCACAACATCTGAAGCACCACCGGTGTAAGCACCACCAGCGCAGCAGCAGCAGCAGCAGGAGAAGCAGCAGCAGCAGCAGCAGCAGCAGCAGCGGCGGCGGCGGCGGCGGCGGCGGCGGCGGCGGCCGCGGCGGCGGCGGCGGCGGCGGCGGCGGCGGCGGCGGCGGCGGCGGCGGCGGCGGCGGCGGCGGCGGCGGCGGCGGCGGCGGCGGCGGCGGCGGCGGCGGCGGCGGCGGCGGCGGCGGCGGCGGCGGCGGCGGCAGCAGCAGCAGCAGCAGCAGCAGCAGCAGCAGCAGGAGCGGTGGCAGCGGTAGCAGAAGCATATTAGAGAATTATGTAGACGAGGCACAGTGGAGAATGGACTGCGCTGTAACAAGAATTAGAATAGTGAAAGGAGCATGTAGATAAGAAGAGAAGAGAGGAAAAAAAGGAGGAGATAAAAAGAGGAAGAGAGGAAAAAAAAATAGAGGAGATAAAGAGAGGAAGAGAGGGAAAAAAAGAGGAGATAAAGAGAGGAAGAGAGGAGAGATTGCTTACTTTCATGTAATAGGCGCAGGCAATCTCATTCTGGCACATGCGATGAGGGAGGGATGGCATGGTGCAACCAGGGAGGGGTGGGGGAGAACGGGGGAGAAGGAGGGGAGGATTGGGGAGGAAACAAATTGGAAAAGAGAAGCAGAGGTTGAACAACCACACATATACGTACACACACACAGGGTATACATGAGATGAGCCCAGCAATCAACATCGCAAAGCAGCCCCCCCCCCTCAAAACAGGTAAATTAACATGCAATACGATCCTGGAAGGGCACGCACACACACACACACACACACTCACACACACGCATGTAGAAAATTGCATGCGAGAGGTGGTGCTGTGCAATTTTCTCTCCTGCCCGGGAAAATTGCACAGCACATTCGCACTCGCCTAGGCAAGCCTGCTGCTGTCAGTTGGACACCCCCATACCTTTACCTTTTCAGGCGTCTCATAAGTCATACCTCTCATCCGACTGACAATTGTCATACCTCTCGTCTTGGCAATCCTGCTGCTGTTAGCCGCACACCCATACCCATACCCATAACCCCACCCAAGCCTCCTCCTCCCACTCCTCCCAAACCTCCCCCCATCGCCCCTCCTCCACCTCCTCCCCCTCCGCTCCTATTCTGCACAGCCCCCCCAAGACCCCCACCAGTCCCCCCGCCTTCTCCCCCCATGCCCCCCCCTCCCCCGCCTCCGATCCCCCCCCCTCCCCCTGCGCCTGGACCTGTCCCCCCTGCTCCGCTTGCAGCAGCAGCGGAGGGGGAGGGGAGGCGCATGCGGGGATGATGGAACTTGCAGTCTGCTCCAAACTTGCACTGGCCTGTTTTCATGTAGAACTGATGGGGTGGGGAAGGGGGAGGGGAAGGGGAGGGGAAGGTGAGGGGGAGGGGAGGGGGAGGGTAGGGAGTGGGAGGGGGAGGGGGAGGGGGGGGGAGGGGAGGGGAGGGGAGAGGGAGGTGTAGGGGGAGGGGAGAGGATGGGAGAGGGAAAAGTAAAAACGCAGCCACGGGGGAGGGGAGGGAAGCGAGAGGGCAGGACAGAATGATCTGGGGAAGTGCTTCTGGGGAAGAAGTGCTTCTGGGGAAGAAGTGCTTCTGGGGAAGAAGTGCTTCTGGGGAAGAAGTGCTTCTGGGGAAGAAGTGCTTCTGAGCCTAACGACTTCCCTGGACGCTTTTGGGTAAAGTCGACTTTCCTGGACCGGGGGAGCTTGTGATGGTGATGTGAGCCTTGCGGCTCTTGAGGTGCCTCGGAACTAGTTTCGTTTGTTTCAAGGCACCTATCTCAATCTCAGTTCCCATTTCGGAACATCTTGAGTGTACATCGGTTGTTCTTCTCACAATCGGTTGTTCTTTCGGTTGAGGCTTGAGGCGATTGCCAATTGGTCGCTAAATCACTTTAGCAGACTACACTGTAACGATCGTCGATACTAGCCGAGCTTCATGCGACGCAGGCGAAATCGCATTGGCGTGCAGCAGCGGCGCGCAGCTTTACTGAAGGCACACATGTGACAGTCGCAAATCACACAGCAACCAGATTCGTGTAATCTTCGTCAGGCAGCTGGAACAGCACAAAGCACCACAGCATCCCAGTGCATCGCATAATCGTCGTCATCAATCATCTCTCTGGTATAAACAGTTCGTCCAGGTATGTCTCATAGTGACATAATCGTGACAAAAATGACTGAATCGCGATCCAGGTATGTCTCACTTTGGTAATCAATCACCAAATCGTGGGCAAGATCCGACATGCTTAATTTGGGGACTGTAGTAAGGTTACGGACGGGTAAATCGAATAACTATCGATGCCGACCGGCGATTGATCGTCAAATAGTACCGCGTCCTGAGGTGCGTCCTGAGCCCTGCTGCTCGTGAGGTGCGTCAGAACTCACTGCACATTCGACTTTTGAGGCGCCTCAGAGTACTTCCCTGGGCTGACGGAGCGTGCAATGTGAGCCTTGCGGCTTTGAGGTGCCTCAGAACAGAACTCACCGCACATTCGGGCTGGCCGGGCCGTTCAGGGAAGGGGTGTGGCGAGAAGGGGTGCATGCGGGGACCTGCCGGTAGCAGCCACGCGTCTGTTAGATCCTGCTGCTGCTTGGGAAAGAGGCGGGGGGGGGGGGGGGGGGAGGGGGGGGGGGGCGGCGGGAGGAACGGGGGAAGAATGAGGGAAGGTAGGAACTTTTGAGACGTCTCGAAAGGGGTGTGGCGAGAAGGGGTGCATGCGGGGACCTGCCAGTAGCAGCCACGCGTCTGTTAGATCCTGCTGCTGCTTGGGAAGAGGGGGGGGGGGGGGGGGGGGAGGTAAGGGAAGAAGGGGCGAAGGTAGGGCAGGCGGAAAGAAGGGCAGCAGAAAGGGTGGGAAGAGGAGGAGGAGGGACGGTTAGTCCAAGGGGTGCCGTGCAGGCGAGGAGATATGAATTGTGTTGCATTCCTCTCTCTCTTTTTAGCTTTAGCCTAAATGAGTCTGGCAAAATTAGGAGCAATCCTCTCTCACTCGCTCCCTCTCTTCCCATCTCCACCCTCCCTCTATCCATATCTAGAAACCCATCGCCTCTCTCTCCCTTAATCCCTCTCTCTCCCTTAATCCATATCCACACACACACACCCACCTCAGGATGACAGTCAGCTCGGTGCAGAGAGGTGAAGCCTGGTAACGGTGGGTGAGAGCACCAAACCGAGGAAGCAAGCAGGGGAAGGAGAGGAAGCCAAAAAAGGGGCAGGGGAAGGAGGGGTAGGGGAGGGGGGGGGCAGCGCGTGAGAGTTGTAGCATCGACAGGTGAGAATTCCCTGTGTTGTGCTACAAAAGATGAGCCAAGAGAAGAGACAAGTGTGGAAGGCTTGGTGGAAGCAAACGCGTGTGTGGAGAGTTGGTGCAAGCAAACGCGTGTGTGGAGAGTTGGTGCAAGCAAACGCGTGTGTGGAGAGTTCGTGCAAGCAAACGCGTGTGTGGAGAGTTGGTGCAAGCAAACACGTGTGTGGAGGGAAAGGAGGACAACCATGGGAGAGATCATATGCCTGGCAATGGCAGTCACATGATTCTGACAACACTGGCATAGTGTGGCGTGGCATGGCACGGCATGGCAAGGTATGGCATGGCATGGCATGGCATTGCATGGCACGGCATGACATGGCATGGCATGGCACGGCATGACATGGCATGGCATGGTATGGCGCATGTAAAACGCACGTGGTGGGCCAACGTGGGGGGCCATGTGCGGCATCTCTGGATGGTTGAACTTGCACGTGCTGCCAAACTTGCAGCTGCGTTCATGCCGAGTGGAATGGAGGGGAGGAGAGGGGATGGGAGGGGAGGGGAGGGGAGGGGAGGGAGGGGAGGGGAGGGGAGAGGAAGAGAGGGGAGGGGAGAGGAGGGGAGGGGAGGGGAGAGGAGGGGAGGGGAGGGGAAGGGAGGAGAGGGGAGGGGAGGGGAGGGGAGGGGAGAGGAGGGGAGGGGAGGGGAGAGGAGGGGAGGAGAGGGGAGGGGAGGAGAGGGGAGGGGAGGGGAGGGGAGGGGAGAGGAGGGGAGGGGAGGGGAGAGGAGGGGAGGGGAGGGGAGGGGAGAGGAGGGGAGGGGAAAGAATGGGAGAGAATCATGACACGCGTATGCCATACACTCCTCCAAGGGTGGTGTTATGAGGCTTCGAAACACCCAGGAATGCATGCACAGCAGCAAGTGGAATGCATGCACGGCAGCAAGTGGAATGCATGCACGGCAGCAAGTGGAATGCATGCACGGCAGCAAGTGGAATGCATGCACGGCAGGCAGCAAGTGGAATGCATGCACGGCAGCAAGTGGAATGCATGCACGGCAGCAAGTGGAATGCATGCACGGCAGCAAGTGGAATGCATGTGAGCTGACTGACACTACCACATGCACATGCTGACACATGGTGATGAGATAAGAGCTTTGGGGACCAAACGGACTACGTGTGTTGACCAAACGGACTACGTGTGTTGACGAAGCAGTCATTAAGCAAATGTTGTTGACCAAGCTGGATCCTGAAAGCATAGCATATTAACCACATTGACTTACTGTAACAATATACCTGCCGCATTTCATGTAAAAGGCACAGTCGACGTCGTCCTATTGGGTAGGGCAGGCAGGCATGCACGGCCCGCCAGGTAGCATGCACGGCCCGCCAGGTAGCATGCACGGCCCGCCAGGTAGCATGCACGGCCCGCCAGGTAGCATGCAACGAGGGGCAACGGACGGATGGATGGAGGCAATATGAGCGTGTTGGGTTGCAGGTGGGAGGAGAGCAGAGGTCATGGAGTGACAGCGATGGTGGGAGCAGGGCCGTGGGGAACGGTACGAGGGATGGATGGAGAGAGAGCGCGAACATAGCTGTCCAAACACACACATGCCAGCGCACACATGCCAGCGCACACATGCCAGCGCACACATGCCAGCGCACACATGCCAGCGCACACATGCCAGCGCACACATGCCAGCGCACACATGCCAGCGCACACATACCAGCGCACACATGCCAGCGCACACATGCCAGCGCACACATGCCAGCGCACACATGCCAGCGCACACATGCCAGCGCACACATGCCAGCACACACATGCCAGCGCACACATGCCAGCACACACATGCCAGCGCACACATGCCAGCGCACACATGCCCCAAGGAGGAGCACTTACAGGTCGAAGTGGGAACCCCCGGGAATTTAGCAACACATGACCATGATACAGCATGCTCCCCATTGCACTCCGACCACCACCCCCCTCCTCCTCCTCCTCCCCCCCTCCCCGCTCCCGCTCCCCCTTCCTCCACTCCTCCTCCTCCTCCTCCTCCTCCTCCTCCTCCTCCTCCTCCTCCTCCTCCTCCTCCTCCTCCTCCTCCTCCTCCTCCTCCTCCTCCTCCTCCTCCTCCCCCTCCTCCTCCCCTACCTACCACACCATTAGCACCCCCACTAACGCCGTTACCCTCCAACATACCGCCACCAACCCCTCTTCCTCCTCTTCCTTCCCCTCCCGCTAGCATTACCCGAACACGCTCGCCTAGCAGAGAATCACCCATTACAGCGCTAACGAGGGGGGGCGGCGATGGGGTATTGGACCTCCGATTGTTACCATGGTTATGGTTATGGTTAAGGTTACCACCGCCGCTCATACCACCCCCGTAGTCCCTCTCTAGATGCATGAGACGTGTACGGTTGGGATTACTGTCGTCACTGGCAGCAGAGAGTGCAGCACAGGCGACAGAAGCAGAGACAGCAGCAGCAGAGGCGAGATCCATAGCAGAGGGGGACCGGCCCCACCCAGGGGAGGTGGTATCTGGGGAGAACTGGAACTGATGCTGCTGCTGCTGCTGCTCCCTTTGTTGCCCCTGGAGGTGCTGCTGCTGTTGCTGCATCTGTTGCTGTCGGTGCTGCTGCTGGCGTTGCTGCTGCTGGTAATGAAACAGCTGCTGCTGCTGCTGCTGCTGCTGCTGCTGCTGCTCCTGCAGCAGCTGCTGCCGCTGATACTGATACTGCTGCGGCGGCGAGTGTTGCTCAAGAGAATTAGCATGTGCAAACGGCGGCGGCGGTGCCACTCCTCCTCTCAGCATGGAGCTTACAGTAGTTGCATCAGGAGGAGGTGGAGGCGGCGAAACAAACGACATCAGAGCCTCGTTGCGCTCACGCTCACCCCTGTTCGTGAAGCCATCTCCAGCCTGGAAACTCCGGATACTATCACCACTGGTAAAATCACACTCCCCCGAGCCATATGTGGATTTAGCAAAGGCGGTGTGAGTGTAGGAGGAGGGTTGAGACGGGCGGTCTTGGCAGTAGGGGTTTGACCTTAACTGCGAGGCTTGGCTTAGCGCTGCTGCTATGGCTGCTGCTTCTGATACAGCAGCAGCTGTGCGTGATGCTGCTGCTGCTGCCGCTGCTGCTGCTGCCGCTGCTGCGACTGCTGCTTCCTCTGCTGATTCTGTTGAAGACGCTGCTGACACGGCTCGCCCTCCCACTGCTATTGCTGCTGGTTCAGGGGTGCCAGGATTAGAGTGGATATTCGTGTGGGAAGGGTACATAATATCGTGTGGTTGGTTTGAGGAACGCTTTTGAGTCGACTCAAAAGCAGGTTCAGAGGTGCCAGCGTTAGAGTGGATATTCATCCCGGAAGGATATGTAAGATCGTGTCGTTGGTTCGAAGAACGGGAGTGCGAGTGCGAGAAGTGAGATGTCTCGAAACTTGAAGAATGGTGCTGGGGAGGGCGAAGCGTGTCAAGACTTGAGGAGTGGTGATGGGGGTTACGGCTTGGGTATTCTTTGAGTTGTGTTGCCTGGTGCATTGGAAGGGTGTGGTTTACGTGGTGGGAGAGGTATGGTGCCGAACCAGTCGGGCCTTGGTCCGGGAAAGAATGGGTGGATAGGCTCGGGAAGCTGAAGGGACGGTCCTGGAGGGATGGCGCCTGGAGGGGGGGGATATCGAGTCATTGAGGGAGGGAGGGAAGGAAGGAAGGACAGAATGAAGGAAGGAAGAAAGGAAGAAACGAGGAAGGAAGAAAGAAAAGGGAACGATGAGAGGCACGGAAGGAGGGAAACATGTGATTTAATTGGTGGCAAATACCCAAGCCGCAGGGAGCGGGCATGCGAACTTCGATATGCGTTAAGGGGGGAAACGAGGTCGAGGGAGCGCAGTGAGGAGGGAAGAATTGATGATATGGTAGGATATGATCGCAGGAGGGTCAGTGACATGGGTTGTGCGCATCGTGAGACAGTCTCGCTATGCTACATGAATGCATACATGTGCGTTGCACACATTATCCGTGCCTTGGCGTTAACATTTACAGGCTGAAGGACATGGAGAGATGCGATGGCGCTGAGAAGAAAGCTTGGAAAGAGAGTGACAATAGTCGCACCATGCGCCATGGATCATGCCCCATGCACCATCCACGAAGCGTCATGGATCATACACCATGCATGCATGATGGATCATGCGACGTGCATCATGCATCATGAATCATGCGCCTTGCACCATGCATCATACATCATGCATCATGGATCGTGCGCCATGCACCATGCGAAATGAACCATGCATCATACACCATGCATGCATCATGGATCATGTACCATGCACTATGCATCGTGCAATCATGGTTCATGCGCCATGCATCATGCATCATGCACCATGCACCATGCATCATGCATGCATCATGCATGCACCATGAATTATGCACCATGCAGCATTGATCATGCATTATTCCTCATGCATCATGCACCATGGGTCATGGATCATGGATCATGCCCCATACACGATGTATTGCGTAGTACCTGCGTCAACAATCCATGAGCAGACAACCCGTCTCCTCGAAACTCCGATTCGCTGTGCTTCAAAAGAGAGTGCATCATCGGCGGGGAGTGCTGTAGCGCGGAATGCTGCAGCGCGGAGTGCGCCTGCGGGGGCGTGTGGCGCACGGAGGCCTCCAGGTGACGCTGAGAAGCGGAATCAGCGGGCGGGCGCATCATGGTGTGCGCTAGATGCGCGGAGGAGAGCGGATATGACGGCGGGGGAAACGCTGCTTGGGGCAGGGGACGGAGAGAAAGGGGAAAAGAAGGGAAAAGGGGAGGCAGATGGCGGAATGGATGTATTGAGAAGGCGGGAAGGCGGGGAAGGGAAGGGAAGGAGCCAAAACGGTATGACATTGAAATACTACTACAACTGTCACACTATTACTAGTCCCGTCCCACTAGCCAAAGCAACTACTAGAACTAGCAGAAAAACAGGAAGGCTTTACTCGAAGGAGCAGAACGAGAGCAGAATGACACGTTCTGGAGCAACGGAGCTGAGCGAACATGCTGGATCGAAAAGTGAACGGGTATAAGAGACTACTCGTATTACTACTAGTAGTGATACGAGTAGCACCATACCCATCATTCCATGATGGCATGACAGTAAAAAAAGACACATCTGAAGCAGTGGTCGTAATCAGGAGCGGCATAGCAGATGGGTACTAGCGAGACGAGTCGTATTTCTTCTTACTACCCACAACATGGTCATCGCGACGCAGGAAATCCCTTGACGCCGCTCGAGGCTGGTTAGTACTATGAGTCGACTCAACTACTCGTCTTCTTCTTACACGTCATAAGATGATCACGCAGATCCCTGGATCCAGGCTGGTTAGTATTCCCGCCACGATCAACAGAGGCGGCGCCGCCTTGCGCGCTGTGCCGGGAATAGTAGTAATCCGCGGCGGAGGAGTCGTGCGAGTCGGCCCGACGGGAGTCGGAGTCCGTGACGCAGCCTCCATCGATCGGCGCGATTCGCGCTGGTGCCATAGTCCATTGATCGATTTCTTGAGCGGCTTGCGCGTCTCCTCCTGCTATGATCATGCGAACATGCGATGCTTGCGACGACTGCGACAGATGCTCCGACCGTTGGCGCGCCTGTTTCCCGCCCACGTGCTCCTGTCCTTGCACCACGTGCGGCGACAGTTGCGGGGACACAAGATCGAGATTTTGTCCCATGTGGTGGTAGTGCTGCTGCTGCTGCTGATTCTGCAGCGGTTGATTCGAGAGTTGCAGGGTTGGGAGCACCGCGGAACTTTGGGATTCGGCGAATGGCGCCGCGGCGGAGTTTTCAAGGGGGTCGCAGCTGGCGGCGGCATGATGGAAAGCGGCGCACAGCTGGAAGCGGAACGTCGCGTCCATGGCGTGATGCCGCGTGCCGCGGCTGCCGCCGCCGCCGCCGCCGCCGCCGCCGCCGCTGCTGTCGCTGCAACTGCTACAGAAGTAGTAATAATCCAGAAACAGAATTCAATGCTTCAACTAATGTCGCGGTTCCTAGATGCGAGCCGCGTACCGTGTGATGGATGGGGTGGAACTACAAGGTATGGCTATCTGCACTCGTTGGATCGAAATTTTAAAATTAGCGCAGCCGACTTCATGCGATTCGTGTCGCGACGAGAGAAGGCGATGTCATGTGAGTCAAACTGTATCCAAGTCGAAACAAAAGCGGCGGCATCATATGTTAATCGCCAGGTGGTCGGGATTTGTCGCACGTCACGCGATGAATATTGACGTTTTTTTTAATGCTGCGACCGACACTCTACTCCCGGAATATTGAGTTACGAAATCTAGGCCGACGCTGGGAGAAATAGCGATAGACGATTTGCCAACTCGGAAGGACGCCTCAGCCGCCGCGACTGCAGGGAATCTTTAATCGTGCATGGCGATTATTTTCAAGATAATGGGTTATCCCCTCCCATCGAATCAGTTCTTGCGGAGGGTTTATGCACTAAGCTCTAGAAGCAGTCTTCCTCTTTCGCCATTTTTTTACCTTCACACGCAGCAGGGTTTTGGCAAGGGGCACTTGGAGATATGGAGGATGAAGTGAGATGTAGTTGTTTCTATGAGAGTTGGCGTCGTCGAACGCGTCTCCTGCATTTGGTACACCGAGGTGGCTGGCGGCAGACTGTGCGGTGTGCGTGCGAGAGACACAGGCAGGAGTGAAGCGTTCTTGCTGGTGTATGGGAATGGGAAGATAGGCAGTGCACAGGCGGTGCTGGAGGGAGTCAGTCATCCATGCTGTGAGTTCGGGCGGCTCAATTCGGGATTCCAGTTGGAATCGCCGATTGCTTTGGATACGAGGTAATGAACGGGAGAGGATAAAACATTATAAAACATTATGGTATTGAATGTAACAAATACAGTACAGTTTTGGCCAAAACACTTAGACATGCTTTTTACTGCACCATCCAATCTGACTCAGCTGATTGGTTGCATTCCGCTGGCTGTTGTTCAATGCTCTACAGAAGGTGGGCATGGGATGGGATAAACCACCATCCCAGAAATTCGACCTCAGTGAAAAAGCGATGCAGAACGGGGTTGTTGCGATAGCGACCCAATCCCGACAAGAACTTGCGCTCACTCACGCTGGTTGACCTCTCGGTGCTCTAAAAGGTCACTCGCCCTACAAGCCGCCAAAATTACACGGATGACATCACATGGGCCCTCTCCATAATCCATTCAATGTCCGCGTGATATGGTGCGCGGGTTTGGCGACCATGTCACCATCAGGGCTGACCAGGAGGTCACAATCGTGGCAAGAGGTTCATCGAAATCTTCATTCTGTACCCAATCCCACCACCTCTGATAAACTATAAAAACTACTGTAACCAACCCTTTTGGCCCGATCATAACTGCGTTCGAATCAGAAACTCGCGCTTCAAATGCTTGAGAAAGAATTTGGCTCTGCTTCACCAGACCAAAGCAACGAGATTGGTCTGGCAAAATCTGTCAAATCAAAGTTGCTCGGTCCAAGCCGCGGACCATGCGGAAGGCGTGAAAGTGTAACCGCGTGATCCTGCAGCCAAAAGTGAGATGGCCCAGATACAAATGGTTTTGGTTATAGTCCTACGGAATGACAAGCCGCGCGCAGACTATGTGCGGAAACCTTCAAACCCTGGGACAAAACGGGAAACTTAAAGTCCCGTTTCAGGGATATAGCATGCAAAGCGCTTTGTTTGCTAATAGTTTTTGTTTTTTGTGTTTGCATAGATTCGGAACGAGCATCCTGAAGTCTCCCAGCTAGTTAGATGTGGCACTTCCGAAAGGGTGAGGTCCCGGGATCAAATCCCCCGTGCGGCGTGTGCTCAGCCAGCCCCCCAGAAGGGGGTTTCGCACGTGCTCATCTTGGGAGTGGATATGACTACCTCGTCACCCAGTGAGGCCGTGTAAACAAATGGGTAGGCAGGTTACAACCGACCGCCGGGGTAAAACCAAAGGGGGTTCCCCCCTACCTTTACCTTTAAAAAAATATAAAAAAAAAGATTCAGAACGAGCTTGCCTCAACCTCTTGTCGCACGGTTCCCCGCGAGACAAAACAAAACAAAATCAATTATGGTTTGGGGCATGAATAGAAGGTAAAAACTTTTGTTTTACCCTATAAGCGAGATAAATGAGATGTCATCGTCGACAAGCCCGTTGCGGACTCCGCGATAGGATTAAGGACTAAGCACGGTCTAGAGAAAAAATTATTTACAATTACAAAGTTAGATATCAAATCGAGGATCCATTCTTCATCATTCATCCTGAATGTTGGGTTGGTTCAATCTGGGCCCAGTGATTGGCTGCGGAGCTAATTCGTGCAATGATTCAGTCAAGATGCAAATTTTGTAGCCAAAAAATGGACTGTAGGGGTCGTGTGAAAGTTAGAAGAGAGAAGAGGACTGCACTAGCAAGAATGGGGATACAAATAGGAAACCCTAGAAGGGTTGTACTCGCTATAGAGCACCCCACTACAGGCTAGAGCATAAGATAACATTCTGACACACCCCCATAGCCAAAGTGGGGTGTAATCAGCAGAGCAAGCAAAGCAGTACAAGCTCAGGGTGGATCACAATGTCACCACACATTCTGAGCACAAGTTCAAGAAGCAATAGTTTAAAGTTAACAATTATGAGCAAAGCTAGTGGTAGTCACAACGGGCAAGTGAGGAGGAGGAGAGAGAGTGAGAGGAGAGGAGATAGGAGGCGACGGATGAAGCTGCAGACACACGGGCAACAGGAGGCACACTGGCACAGCGGCTACCGGAACAACGCTCCGGAATACTGGAATAAGTGGCCCCGCGGCTAAAGTAGCGGCAGACGAGCAACGGACCCACGGGCGGCTGGCACAGCTGGCTACGACTGGGCTACCGGACGAAGTCCCCGGAATACAGGTGCTGCTGGCGACACGACGGCAACCTCCATTCAGCTTCCCCAAACTATCCCACTCCCCCTGGCACACACCCACTGCTACACCGCTAGCTCCACTCCCACGCACCCCCCTTAAACCCTAAACCCCAGTCTCCCACTCATCCACCCCCCTCAACGTCAGCTGCAGCAGTGGGAGACGAATGAGGAGGAGGAGCAAAGGGAGGAATGCACAGCTGCCACCCCCATACTCGCCACCCCCTACTCGCCACCCCCTACTCGCCACCCCCCAGGCGGCCCCCTCAGGTCGCCTCGACAGGCGACGGGAAAAGGAGGGGGGGGGGGGGGGGGGGGGCGGTGCACATGCCGTAGGTAGGGCGACGGGGCCGGGGTCGCAGGTAGGGCGACGGGGCCGGGGTCGCAGGTAGGGCGACGGGGCCGGGACGCTGGTAGGGCGACGGGGCTAGGGCCGGGGCCGCAGGTTTGGCGACGGGACCGGGGTCGCAGGTGGCGCGACGGGGCCGGGGTCGCAGGCAGGGCGACGGGGCCGGGGCCGTAGGTAGGGCGACGGGGTGCGACGCGCGGGTCCCCGTCGCCCGTCGCAGCGCCTCCCGGGGGGGGCGCGCCGAGTGACGGGGCAGAAACCCGTCGCGCGCCTCGGGGCGCACGGCGGGCAGAAAACCGCCGCGCGCCTCGGGGCGCACGGCGGGCAGAGAACCGCCGCGCGCCTCGGGGCGCACGGCGGGCAGAGAACCGCCGCGCGTCTTGGGGCGCACGGCGGGAAGAAAAACTGCCGCACCCCACGGGGCGTGCGGCACAGAGAGTAGCAGTAGTAGTTGCAGCGGAAGCAACGAGGTGGTGAGCCCACCCACAGGATCGATCCAAGGGGATCGACCTGCTCTGATAGCATGTGAAAGTTAGAAGAGAGAAGAGGACTGCACTAGCAAGAATGGGGATACAAATAGCAAACCCTAGAAGGGTTGTACTCGCTATAGAGCACCCCACTACAGGCTAGAGCATAAGATAACATTCTGACAGGTCGGGCTACACCTAGGCGATATCGGAAAATTCTACTTAAGTGGGAAAAGGGAATCTTTTAGCGAGGGCCTCTAGCCCGGAAAATTCGTATATGAACTATACAACGCGTTGCATAGCCACAATTCATTTGAATCGAAGGTTGTTTTGGCTACACGAATGCTTAACATGGTGCCGAAAATTGGGGCACAATGTGCATATTTAGTTAATAATAGGTCGGCCGTCATGCCACGACATGTATTGGCTTGTGAGGTACCCTTAAACATTTTTGGTTGCAGGAGAATCAATGCGACAAACCCACTGTCTAGTAACTTCGTGGAAGTACCATATGCGCAAACAATGTTAAGCAACCTGGAAACGCAAACTCGGACATAGTTATAACCTCACGGCAGACCGCAGAATCACATCAATATCATATGCAAATTTGAACAAGACATACATCCCCATCTTCATATGCGATACGTTACTAATTTCACCATGATTATCAATTACAACCCTACAGGATTGAGCAGATTACGATAATTTTTGTAAGAGTTGTAAAAAAAAAACATCAAGAACGACCAATAGTCTCGTTAATGCTTTCATGACAACCCACTAGAAACTTCTGGT